CAGAAACAATTATATGAGTTTTAGAAGATGTTACATGCTTTTTGAGAGATTAACATAAAAGCATTTCTGAGACATAATGGGCCTTTAATGCAGAGATTCTGAATAATTATGCTAATGTCAACATAACTTATTATAAGAATAAACAGACAATACTCTAGTAAGCAAACATAATGACATTGGACCGGAGAGAACCCTCAGGGTGAGGAACTGGTAAGGGAGAGAATAGTCTGTCATTCGAACATGCATATGTTATTTTGTGCCTCATGATTGGGATTTGTTGTTTTATTTTTATGAAAGGTGATTTTTTGTTAATTCAGCAAATGGATCGAATAAATAATAATCGGAGTGGAATATATAAAAAGAACATTGAAAAACAAAAAAAAACAAAAATGATGAAAAGCAAAAATAATTGTATAATTTTCAAATACAGTAGATAAATATCGAACATAAAAGCACAATTAATTTATAAGCCTAAATTAAAGCCTACCCAGGGACTGACAATATAATTTTAAAATGCGTTTCACGGAACATGCAAACTTTCCGTAATGATGGGCAAACTTCTATACCATCGGTAATTGACGCAATTATCAGAGCCCAACAACAATAATTTTTCATGTAAAGGTGTTGAAAATTAAACTTAATGAAACAAAAACGAATTATCATCAAAACTTTATAAACTATTTCAATTGATGTTATTTAACTGCGACCAAACTCTATTTTTTCTCAACGTCTTGAGATCGACAAAGATCGATATTCATACTTTATTTACTGTAGCCAACAAGGCAATTTATCTCTTAAAAGTAAACATACGAGGGCAATTGCTATTTCGTGGTGAAAAATCCTCGCTTAAAGTCATAAAATAATATATGCATTTTCGACTTCCATCTAATTTTGAAAATGCCGTACGGCTAGCCAATACAGTGTGTCCTTGCTAGTCGTACGTAACTCACGCACGGCTAGAACGGGCTAGCCACTTCCTTCACGCAACGGCAACAAGGTCAAATGAAGTCGTAACAATTTCCCTCGAGAACAAAGGAATAAAAATATATTGCCTAGATAACCACAACATATTTTATTCCATTTCTCTCAATCACTCATATGTTTTTTTTTTTGTTAGTTTGCATTAAAAGTCAACAAATAACTGCTAGATTGGCGAAAGTTCAGATGTGTAAAAATGCCGATAAATCTTTTTAAAAGGCAAATGGCAATGTCTTTTATCTTGATTTTAAGGTTAGAGAATATGTTTAAAATAAGGTTAGAGAATATGTTTTAAATATTCTCCACACTAGATTTACGCATGTAATGAGCTTTAAACATAAAATATTATCAGGCATGTAGTGTGTTTGAAAATGCACCAGTCTTTGCCAATTTTTACTTGTACCGTTTTAAAACAAACCACAGGCCACTGACGTGGGATTCCTCATATATGTAGGGATATGTTCTGTAAATAGTGACTGTGACGTCACAAGCTACCAGACCCGGGGCGATTACTTGACAACTGTAATCGATTTAATTATGATTATTGTCAAAATGCTTGATTAAATTAAATTACTGATAACTCCATTTTGACATTGTAATTGATTAAATTACTGACAGGAGTAATCAGATTACATTTATGATTACTGATTACATGTACATAAGTTAAGAAATGCAAAAAGTTCAACACTATCGTTTTATTGAACATTTCAATACAACAAATGTACACAAAAATAATCCAGCTTAGTTTTACAGTAATTAATTCAGTATACATATGTACATGTGTTGCCTCCTATTTACTAAGCTATATTCTCATATTACATTTAATGTTCATAAGTTTTTCAAATGTATTTGGTTTCAGGAGGCAAGTCTTCTCAATAAGTAATAATATACCTATCCAGGCCATTGTTATAATTTCACAGCTAAATTTAAGTGGTATAATTGTCATTTATGCATTGGGTCAATCTGTCAGTGATCTTTTCATCACCTTATTAAAACACACGTGTCATCAAATCTGACCTGGGTGACTGCATTACATTGACACTGGTACTTTGTTAACCTTTATTTGTTCAGCAATTTTTTTAGCTTAACATGTATTGTAATCATACATGTAATCATTGTGATTACTGATTAATTGGTCATGTAATTGATTAAATTATGATTAAATTACAGGAAAAAATATGATTACTGATTAAAAAATTGTAATCGATTAAATTAAATTAAATTACCGATTACGATTACCCCATGTCTGCAAGCTACTGACATTAGTTGTGCAAACTCTGCGCACCGGTTACGCTACGGTAAGGAATCTAATTCCTGTAAGGGGAGATCACTGCATAGGAGATTTCTAGTTGTGTTGACACATAGATTGAGAAAGGTAGACCTGTAACTTTCCATTCAAATTCTAATGACAAACTGACATGATCGTATTCAAAGCTTCGTATCTGTTACAATTTTCATCAAATTTTAAAAAAAGTCAGGTTTGTGTATTACAGTAATGATTGACCTTGTCGATGCCGAGTAGATTTTCTGCTTTAGATAATCAACAACGATATAATGCGTCGTGAAACTCATTAAAAAAACTCTACTCGGACACAATGTAACCGAAATAATGCATACATGTGTAATCAATAGACATTTGAATGACAACTCTTAAGAAACATGCTATGTCAAACAAAATCCTACATAAAACAAATGAATGTGTGTTTATTCAAATCTTACAGGTTATAATTTGCCAAAAAAGTCGTTAGTAGTAATGAATTCCAGCCTCATTCGACTTGCGACTTCCATTTTGACTGGATCCCTGGTTTCCCATTGCCACATCTGAGAGTTACAACAATACAAATGTCATTCACAAAAACTTACTTGATCGATGAATTAAATTCACCGTAAGTTTCATGTAGAAAGTCCCCAGAATATTTTCTTTAATTGTCAAAATAAATAAAAATTAATTGGAAAATTGGAAAAATAATTAATGTAAAAAAGTTTAATAAATAATTCGATATCAATGAACAACATATAAACACTTTAAAAAAGACTTTGAAAAATCAAAAGTGAAATAATTTTTATAAAGTTAGATTGTAAACAAATGGGTACGTTTCATATTGGGGACCTTTCTTTTTGGCTACGTTTTTGACTTGCTTCAATAGTGATTAGGAATAAATCATTTACACGAAAAGGTACATAATGATAAACCGATCAACTGTGGTCAAAATGTTTTTAAAGAAACAATAGAAATAAAAACACTTTGCTGATATTAAATGGTCACCATTGTGATGATTGCCCAATTTCATAACAGATTCTAAACAATAGTCTGTGGAGGGTGTGGCAAATGTAAACAAATAACAATCTGCTAATAATATCCAAGTATTCCATTATACATGTAGTTCACGTTGCATAAAAAGTAAGCCTTTTGAAAGTGTGTTGATTTGATAACCCCACTGCAGGTTTTTTTCTTTAAATTGTAACCGTGAAGAGAGGTGATTATTTAAATGACCACCATGTTTGGTTTTTCTCATTTTAAAATTATTAATTTTGGCCAGTTTGGTCAGAGATTGGATATATTAAATCCCAGCCCACTATATATTAGCAAATTGACATTCACATTTTTCATTCTTCAATGGCATCACTTATAATCCATGAAGTAAATTAAATGGTACTGCAAGCACAAATTTTTTCACACTCTATACCATGTCCACCTCGGAGGCAGGAGGTCGTGGGTTCTATCCTCCGGTGCGACATACCAATACTGATATAGCTCTCTTGCTTGGCACTAAGCATTATAAGGTTAGTTGTGGGACTGGTTGGACCGGTGTCAGGATCATATGACTTGGTGTGGGGATAATGCCAAAGGTCTACAGAGTGATACTGCAGTGTGGCAGCCTTTATCTGGGATGTTAAACCAAACATACAAACAAACAAAACCATGTTTAGTCGTCGCAAATCGGCATTGCCAGATTGCAACACTTTCATACACATGATTGTCATCTTATGAATTACACTAATCTCCCCTGTAATGGGCTATGCATTTATGACAGTTTACCAACTGACAGTCTGACTTGGTGAAGGAAGCTGCCTGTGGTGGGTTGGTTATTGATTTTTCGGAGTCCTGAACATCATAACGTGCGTCAACTGATAACCAAACTTGTCGCTAAATAAATAACAAACGGTCGCTTATATCATTTAAGAATTAATTGGGGAAAATAGTTGTTGGCATGAAAAATCGCCAAATTTGAAAATTGTTACAATATTAATCACTAGTTGACATATGAATGACTTACGGAAAAACATTATTGATAAAAAAATCTAAAGGGTCTGAATGTTCTGCAAAGTAGGGTCGGTGACGGATCATCATTTTTTAGGCCTAATTTAATTGTAGGCCATACATCTACTTTTTATGTGGGAAGTGTTTTGTGATTGACCATGGTGGTTTAGTTACGTTCAGAGAATAAACTGTACCCAGACTGTTAAATCAAACACTTTCACCTGATCATCTTTTACCTATATAAAATGTTTACGTGCATAATATCTTGGATAATTTGGATTTCCAGCCAAATTGCCCCAGGCACTCATAAGTTGCTGGCGTTACATTTTATGTGTAGATTATGGCAATTTGGCACTCTTGTCTACATTTGAACCACAATAATGTTTATATATCTTAAGCCTTAAGGGTTGATTGCAGTGTTTTTTTCTCTACTTTGGGAATGGTGCCGGTACCAGATTGATTGGGAAAAATGCATTATTTTAACTCAAAATGGGAATTTTTATTATGCATCTTTTCAGCTACAAATAAGAATAGTCATAATGAATAAAGACAGATAACAGCTTCCACTGTCCAGGTAGAACTATTGAGTGGTGATTTATATAAACATGTTTGATCTTAAATGATTTAAGATAATTCTCATTGCCTTGAACAGTCATTTTCGGAATGTTCACATTAGAAATTGGGAATTTTAATGTCTTTTTTCCATTGGGAACAGTACCTTTTTCGGGTAGTAGTTATATAAAGGAAAAGAAATCACTGGATTATATTAATTATGGTTATTTAATATATTCATTTATAGTTTTCAGCTACGGGAGAGTTTGTCAAATTTAGAAAAACAGACAATATGAGCAATGATTTTGTTAAGGTAATTAATGGTTTTCTAGTCTCTTTATATCATACATTTTTCTTGAACTTATTGTCTTATTTAAGGATATTTGTTTCAATATATCCTCTTGTTGAAAATGCCATGACCTTATCTTTTTTTTTCATAATGCAAGTTTTAATGTCAATTAATTCAAACTAAAAAATATGTATTCAACTACATTCATAGTATTTATTGCTAAGTAATATATTTTGCCAATTGAAAAGAAAGAAACAGCAGATATATGATCATAATTCAGTTACATGTACATGTATATCAGGGTTCACGTTAACTTTTTCAATAGCTGGACCAGTGGTTCAGTTACTTTGAAAATTACTAGACCAGACAAAACATGAACTAGACCAACATTTCAACAATACTAAAACACTAAATGTTTCAAGCTAAAGTCATTGTCGGAGTTGCATAATCACTGTATTGACAATTTCATTGTTAAGTTTTGAATTTGTTCATATTTTCAACAGTTATCTTTTATTCATCATGAAAATTCATACAATGATATATCTTAAGAAACCTTGCTTTATGTAATGCCAATAACTCTTCCTTGCTTTTTAACCAGGTTTTGAAGGAAGTTGGAATGGCGTATGTTGTTGGTCAGGCGGGCAGGCGTCAAACTTTGTTTTCTATCAAATATTAAGGTTAAGTAATCATAATGATTTTCAGGTCAATAGGATCAAGGTCAGTGTTACTAAAATGATTTTTCGTTTATGTCAAATAACTTCATGTGTCAAGGACCAGCCTATACAAAAAATGTTGTGCCTGATGTTCTCCCGTACTGATGATGTCATCAAGCATATTAAGACGTCATTATGAGTTATAATGTCATCAACATTCTAGAAGGAATTATATATCTTCTTTAAACAAGCTAAGCTAAAAAAGAAAAACAACAAAAAAAAAATAAACATTTGCAATCATTATCCTTTGAGTTACAAGGATCTAATATAATGTCAATCTATGTTATGCCATATGCTTGCCTCTTCATCACCTAGTGCATAATATTTAAGAATAACAAGCAAATTCGTTGAATTTATATCCCCCGCCGAGTACTGGTTATTATTAACACAACAACTGAAGACATAAGGCTTTATTTATATATTAATCATGGCATAAACAGTAATATTCTTTGAACTTGATAAATATTCAGGGCAATAACAGAGCCATAATTTTGTGTTAAATAGTAAAATCTGGAAATGCCAATGAGATGTATGCATACTACATAACTAGGGCCAAATCAAGGGCCATAAATCTGAGTTATAAGTATCTGACCGGGAACAAAGCGACTATATGCACATCTCCTCTTAGTATCCCATAAAGTTTCATTGAATTCCAGCCAGTAGAAGCAGAGTAGTAGCGAGGAAACAAATATTTTTCTATATGGATACTGCATAACTAATCAAGGGCCATAACTCTGAGTTAAAGTGTCTGACCGGAACAAGCCAACGATATGCGCATCTCCTCTTGGTATTAAAGGTTCCCATAAAGTTTCGTTGAATTCCAGCCAGTAGTTGCAGAGAAGTAGCGCGGAAACGATTTTTACTCCATATGCATATTGCAGAACTTATCAAGGGCCATAACTCTGAGTTAAAGGGTCGGACCGAAACAAGCCGACGATATGCGCATCTCCTCTTGATATTGATGATTTCCATAAAGTTTCGTTGAATTCCAGCCAGTAGTTGCAGAGAACTACTCCGGAAACGATTTTTACTCTATATACATACTACATAACTAATCAAGGGCCATAACTCTGAGTTAAAGGGTCGGACCGAAACAAGCCGACGATATGCGCATCTCCTCTTGATATTGATAATTCCCATAAAGTTTCGTTGAATTCCAGCCAGTAAGTGCAGAGAACTACTCCGGAAACGCAATTCTGATGGACGGACGAAAGGACGGACGGACGGACAACGACAAAACTATATCCCCCATCATATTCCATCGGCGGGGGATAAAAAGAAAGAAAAAATAGATGGAAATCAATTCATCTGGTCAAATATTTTTTGTATTATTTACAATGTCATTGTAATTGCATTATTTATAATGACACTGTCAAAATTTTACCAAAACTTCAAAGTTGTAGTCCTGTATTGCAGAATCTGAATTCTTACTTTATATTTATTTTTTATCCCCCGCTGAAAAGGCGGCGGGGGATGTTATTATCATACAGAAAATGTCTCCGTCCGACCTTCCATCCGACATTTTTGTCCGGAGCATATCTCAAAAGAAAAAAGTATTTGAGATATCAACTTGAAACTTCATAGGTGGATAGACCTCATTGTGGTGGAGTGCAGTGCCCAAGAATGATAACTCTACCCTGCATAATTTTTGAGTTATTGCCCTTTGATATTTTTCAAAATTAAGTTTTGTCCAGAGCATAACTCAAAAAGCCTTTGAGATATCAACAAGAAGCATATTCAGTATATGAACATATTGTTCAACCTGCATACATATAGGAAGTTGCAAGATGTCTGATTTGGCACATATTGCTGGCTTAATTTGCTGCTGCCTTGTTTGTGGGTCATAACTTATAAACTGCACATATATACGCACATTTTACATCCTGCTTATATATATATATAAAATCCCAAAAATACCTGGTTTATGGGGCTGTTTAACCACATATGCAAATTCTTACCATGCTGCCGATAAAGGAAGTCACAAATCACCTGGTTTGTGGGACACTTAACCATCTATTTGCATAGACTGTAATTTTATCGATTCAGTTAATGACTTTTTCACTACAATTAGCATATTTTTGGCAGTACATATTTATAATATTTATAATACATGGAAATCTGATTTTTTTTCCTGCTTGCTGTTTTAATTTTTAGATCACTGTTCACTGTTTTTATGCTCCCCAAAAAATTTTGAGGGAGCATATAGTCGGCGCTTTGTCCGTCCGTCTGTTGTCTTGTCCGGAACATAACTTGAAAACCCTTGGAGATAATTTGTTTAAACTTCATACAGTGGTAGAGGGTATTGAGGGGGAGTGCCGTGTCAAAGAACCATAAGTCTATTTTGCCCGGTTTTTGAATTATCTCCCCTTATAGAAAAATTCTGTCCGGGACATAACTCTTAAACTATAAGAGATATTAACATGAAACTTTGTAGGTGAATATATATCAATGGGTAGATGTGCAGTGCAAAAGAACAATAACTTTTTTGTCCTTATTTTGGAGTAATTGCCCTTTGTTAATTTTAACACTTTGAACTTTGTTCGGAACATAACTCTAAAAACTATAAGAGATGTCAAGATGAAACATTGTAGGTAGATAGATCTCATTGAGTAATAGTGCAGTGCAAAAGAACCATAACTCTGTTAAGCCTCATTTTTGAATTATCTCCCCTTTTAGAAAAATCTTGTCCAGGACATAGCTGTAAAACTATAAGAGATATCAACATCAAACTTTGTAGGTAGATATATCTCAATGGGTAGATGTGAGTGCACAATAATAACTCTGCCTTGCCTATCTAGAGTTATTTCCCTTTGTTTATTTTTACTTTTTGAAGTTGTCCGGGACATAACTCGGAAACCATAAGAGATATCAACAAGAAACTGTGCAAGTTGATATATCACATTGATTAGATAGTGCAGTGCAAAGAACAGTAACTCTACCTTGCCTAATTTTGGAATTATTGCACTTTGTCTGTCCGTCGTCCGTCCGTCGTCCGTCCGTAAACTTTTACTTTAAATGACATCTCCTCATAAACCACTAAGCCAATTTCATCTAAACTTCACAGGAATGTTCCTTAGGTGGTCACCTTTAAAAAGTGTTCAAAGAATTTAATTCCATGCAGAACTCTGGTTGCCATTGCAACCAAAAGAAAAAAAAATAAATATCTTCTTTTAAAAAACCCAAAGAGCTAGAGCTTAGATATTTGGCATGAAACATCTTCTAGTGAGTGTCTACCAAGTTTGTTCAAATAAAAGCCCTGGGGTCAAAATTTGCCCCGCCCCAGGGGGTCATTGATTTTCCCTATATGCATATAGTAAAAACTTAAAAAATCTTCTTTTAAAGAACCCATAGAGCTAGATCTAAGATATTTAGCATGAAACATCTTCTAATGGGTGTCTACCAAGTTTGTTCAAATAAAAGCCCTGGGGTCAAAATTGGCCCCGCCCCAGGGGGTCATTGATTTTCCCTATATGCATATAGTAAAAACTTAAAAAATCTTCTTTTAAAGAACCCAAAGAGCTACAGCTAAGATATTTAGCATGAAACATGTTCTAATGGGTGTCTACAAAGTTTTTTCAAATAAAAGCCCTGGGGTCAAAATTGGCCCCGCCCCTGGAGTCATTGATTTTCCTTATATGTGTATAGCAAAAACTTAAAAAATCTTCTTTGAAAAAACCCATATAGCTAGAGTTTAGATATTAAGCATGAAACATCTTCTAGTGAGTGTCTACAAAGTTTGTTCAAATAAAAGCCCTGGGGTCAAAATTGGCCCCGCCCCAGAGGGTCATTGATTTTCCCTATATGCATACAATAAAAACTTAAAAAATCTTCTTTTAAAGAACCCATAGAGCTAGATCTAAGATATTTAGCATGAAACAGGTTCTAATGGGTGTCTATCAAGTTTGTTCAAATAAAAGCCCTGGCCAAAACTTAAAAATCTTCTTTGAAAAAACCCAAATAGCTAGAGTTTAGATATTAAGAATGAAACATATTGTAGTAAATTTTGTTCAAATAAAAGCCCTGGGGTTAAAACTGGCCACGCCCCAGAGGTGTCATTGTTTTTAACTATATGTGTATAGTAAAAACTTAAAAAATCTTCTTTAAAAAAAAAACCTATGAGCTAGAGGTTAGATTTTAAGCAGGAAACATCTTTTTGTTGGTGTTACTGCCAAAGGGGGGGGGGGCGGAGGTCATTGTTTTTCATTATATGTGTGTAGTAAAAACTTAACATCATGAAACATCTTTTAATGGGTGTCTTCCAAGTTTGCTCAAATAAAAGCCCTGGGGTTTAAACTGGCCCCGCTCCGGGGGCCTATATACAGGTGAGCGACCTCAGGGCCATCATGGCTCTCTTGTTTCATTTATTATTACAGAAAGAACAGCCATACCTCATTTTGTGTTCCTCTACATGGAAATGTGTGTTACCAACTGGAAATGAGCTGAAATATTCAAAGGTAGCACTTCACATCATAAATTAATGAAATATTTTTTCTTATAATGGTCCCCTTCAAAGAAGAGGGGCATATTACTAAATGCACATGTTGGTCATTCTGTCATGAGACCAAAGCTTGCCCGAGTGAGAACTTAAGTTCTATTTGACCCTTAAGTCATGGTAATATTTTTTTATGAAAGTCTTGTCCGAGTGATAGCTTTAGATATATTTGACATTGAGATCTCGAACATTGTATGGTTGTTGCTTATGACTAGTAAAAGACATCTATTAATTTTGGGATTTGTACCCCAAAGGTCAAGGTCATGAGGTAATAAATTAAATCCTCACAAACACTGTAAGTTTAGCATTGTCCGACTGATTACTCTAAGATCTAATTGATTCCTAGGTCCCAAACATAGTATATATACTTATGATTAGTAGAAGAATACTATTAATTTTGGAGTCTGTAGGTCAAG